AGTCTAAAAGACGCAATAGACCGTTCACTCACATTTCTAACGACACACTTCATGCATCATTGGATACAGTTGCCTTTAAAAAAGAGGTTTTGCTCAACAACCAGAGCGATCGAGTTGTCTCTTATTTTGTATTTGAGGCTGACACCGTTATCAAATCCCACCTTAAAGCCTTTGAAAAGCCACACACATGCGTTTTCACGCAACTCGGCGATACCTCCATTGCCATATAATCTACCCCGTAAAATCTAAGCCAACAATTCCCACAAAGAAAAAGAAAAGCAACCAGCTCAACATATGGCACCCGATGAGAAAGACAGTCTTGGCGCCTACAGGCTGGGCCAGGCCAAAGAAAGCGATGCTCCAGAGGAAGAATGAAATATTTCCACGATAAAGTTGGAAGCTGCCGGAGAAATGCTGCAGGTTCGCGTTGTAATCGTCAACGTAATGTCCGGCACACTGGAGTATGGGCATGGCACGCTTACTGGACCTCTGGCTCCAACACGAGTGCTTGGACCAGTGTTTCCTATGCAGACCGAGCGTGCACTTTGTGAGGGGTTTGAAGCTGTAATGGACGTCTCCCGCACAGGGGATACGCTGATCCTTTTTCAAGGCGCGAACACCCTTTTCTTTGAGGCCCAACCTGACTCTGCACAACAGCGATCAGCGGAGGGCAAAAGACCGTTCTATTTGTTTTACTTGTATTCTCGTTTTTTTCCATTTTTTTTTAAATTTTATTTTTTAAAATTTTTGTTGATGCGTGGCGTGTGTGGTGTGGTGCAGTTGGTGGTGCGGCCTGTGTGAGCGACAGCTGTTTGGTCGAGTGCAGTTGGATTGTGTGGATTTCTTCTTTCTTCCCCTTTCTCTGGATTTGTTTTGTGTGTTTGCGTAGGTGCTTGGCGTGGCATCGCCTGACGATGTCGACGCCGCGCTGGGGAGGGTGGCTGACGGCGGGTCGCTTGACGTGCGTGGCTTTGCTCGCGCCATGTGTGCTGAGGCGTGCAGCAGCATCCAGAGGCTTTTGCGTGAGTCTGCGGAGAAGGCGGGGGCACTTGATGAGGAGGTGAGAGGGATTGTGGAGCGCGACAGGGCGGAGGAGGATGCGCTTCGGGGGGCTGCGACCGGTGCTGCGCATGCGGAGATGGGTGCTCTTCGAAACGAGCGGTACGCCGAGTTCTCACGGCGGCGGGCGCGTGTGTTGGCTGAGCGAGCCGCTGAAGGGGCGGTGGCTTCTCCGACCTCGGCCGGCGGAAGGAGTTGTGTGTGTGTGGGCGGCTGCGGTGCCTCATTGTGCATCTGCGCCCGGACGCCGTTTTTGACCTTTGCAAGCATGGCGACGTTGCGCATGTGTTGTTGGGCTGGCGCACCGCCACGCAGACGTCGCGGGCGCAGTGCGACTCTCTTAGTGAGTCCGTTCCTGCCGGCGTCCCGAATGTCTCTGTGCGCGTCCTGCTGGTAAATGGCTTTCGGTGCACTCCCAGTTGCACAGGCGGTGCCTGCAGGCTTGCAGAGACGGATGTCGAGGCGGTGGCGGTGGGGGCGTTGTGGCCGAGGATTTGTTCGTGCAGTGGCCTGGTGCTGTGGACATGCGCTCTCTGCTCACCGGCAACCGACTGCGGTGTATTTGTGACCCCGCCTGCGGGATGGCGCGGAGTGATTTGTGGTTGGTGGGGGACGGCCACGACACTCTGGGCATTGTTCGCCACACGCGTCTGCACCACTCCGCCGTCTTTCGTGGATTTTTCTTTTCCGAACAGCTGCGGGCGTGGAGTGTGTTGGCGCGCAGGCAAACCTGATGCTTCCCCTGTTTGGGGCGACCGGGAGCGAGTCCCAGAAGCGTGTGGAGAGACGCGCTGTCGATGTGTTTGAGAGCCTACGTGAGCAGGAGGAAGGCCCTCCTTCTGCGCGCACGAGTGCTGCTGTGCTGCTCCCTGTGCATGGCGACGCGTCAGCTGCTGCCGACGACTCGCTGCCGTTGGGGTCTGTGGTTCTTGACATTCGTCCCCTGGCACCGAGTTTTTCCTTCGCGCGGCACTTCAGATGTGCCGAGACATGTGCGCTGGTGTGCGCCTTGCATGGTGTGTCCGTGCTGCAGCGTGAGTGCCTGTGCTGCCTGTGCACCGTTGCCTCCGTCTTTTTCTTTCCCTTTTTTTTTTTTGCGGTTTTGCGCGCAGCATACACAATTTTCAGCGAAGTGAAGGGTAACAGCCAATCTGCACGCCATGTCGTCCATCCCTGATGAGCTTTTTGGCAATTGGTTGCTGACGACGTTCAACGGATTGGATCTTTCAGATCAAGGAGGACCGTTTTTGATGGTATTGGAACCTGCAGGAGGACTTGTGTACCTTGATATTCAAATTACTAACATACTGTCCGGCTTACTGGAGTACCGAGATGGCCAGCTTTATGGACATTTGGTTTCAACACGAATGCTTGGACCACCGTTACATATGCAGATTGAGCAAGCATTTGGTGCTGGATTTGAAGCTGGAATGAACGTCCTTATGGAAGAAGCTGGGATGATCTTCTCTCAAGGCGGGAACACCTTTTTCTTTGTGGCCCAAACCGACTCCTCACAACAGTGAACAGCGGAGGGCAAAAGAGCGTTTTATTTGTTTTACTTGTATTCTTGTTTTTTCCTTTTTTAGGAGCATTTGAAAAGAATGATCGTGGGAGGGCTGGCTGCCCTAATTAATGTGTATGTATCCTGATAAAAGGAGTGCTCCTCCTTACGACACTTTTCTATCGTATGAATTCTTGGAAGAACACGACTTCAGGGGAGCAGGGAGGCGATGGCGGCTGGATAACTCCTATTTTTATTTTGCCTTCCCACCCACCCTCTTTTGATTCCCACCATGCGGCGGCGTCCCTTTGGTTGGAAGAACCCAAAGTCTGCCACTTCGTAAGAAATAAATAAATAAATAAATAAAAATATATACATCCCATCCGAATAGAGTGAGCGGGCCGCGACTGTGGCTAACGGATGATATATAAATATACACTTCCTAGCTTTTACACCTTGAGGATATGGTGAATCCACTCCTGTTCCATTCATCCCTTCTTATTTC